TCAAAGGGTGGCAATGGGGACATCCCCAGTATGAATTCCACAGCACATCCTGGCTGCTGATACCCAACTACTGAAACCCCTGGAGAGCATAAAAAAGCCCTGTGGTTATTCACTGAGAATCACCTGCCTCTCCTTTGGTTTGTAAATCACCCAAAAACATATATTTCACTGTGTTCTTTCCCAGATGTGCCAGCGCTGGCTTTGTTAGGTCTCTGCTATGGTTGTCCCATGCCCTCAGCCAGCACGGCAGTGGGGACACTGAGGAGCTATGCTTTGCTTCCCTGTGCCCCCACCCCATGCCTGATCCCAGGGCGGCCTCCCAAGCCCTGCATACCTGCTGGTCTCACTTGCTGCCAGCCCTGTGGGTCGTGCCCCTGTCACCCAGAGAACCCCATCCAGTAAAATGGCTTTGTTCTTCCCTGAGCCCAGGGAAAGACCAGGCGTAGCGTTGAGTTCAGTCCTTTTGTTGGCAGGTTAAAAACTTGACCTTCCCCTCCCCTGAGCCCCGGATGGCCCTGATAGCACTTCTGTCCCACAGTTAAATATTCTTTTTAAATCCTTCTCATCCTACAGGAGGACTTTCATAACATAAATAGATCTCCAAACCTTTTGTGTGGAGGGAAAAAAAAAAAAAAAAAAGACAGGAAAGAGAGAAACGAGAGAAAAGAAATGCGTGTCTCTAATTGGCATAATTCCTTCAGGCCCGGCTCATAATTTAAGACGGATCAATTCTCTAGCTGACATGATAGATGTCGACATCAATAGATGGGAGCAGTGATGTCTGTTCCTCCATCCAGGGGCACAGCCGCAGACACGCCTGCTGGGGGTCCTGCACATGAGCCAAAGCAGGATGTGGCCAGCAGACAGGGGTCTGACTGAGGCTTCCAGCCAGGCAACTTATTAAAATAATAAATATTTTCATTATCCGCCGAATCCATTATCGTTCTCCGTTTTAGCAATTGTTAACTAATAATTCGGATTAATTACCAAGCTAAATCATTAAAAATTAAACCAGTATATTTTGCTTCTTTAAAAGAGATAGTTTGTAACCATTTGTGTATTGTGCATGTTAAGTGGGAGGGCGATGAAATATGTTGTGTTAGCTTAGCTTTGACAGCATCTGTATCCATGCCATATTACACTCCGGTCTTATCAAATCTCAGAAGCCACGGTGTATAAATAGGCTGTGATGATATTTGCAGGAGAGAAATCATTCACAATAATTTTGGCATCTTCTGTAGTGACTAGCAAAGAACCACCCAGTGAACACAGCAGATAATAGCACAGTAAGTGGCATATAAGAGCACAGGATTGAGGAGCACTTAACAAGAAGTCAGAGGTAGGGTTTGGCATACACTGGTTATTAGATATGAACACAAATTTCATCCTAAGGAATTTCAATGCGAGTCGAAGCTCTGTTCAGAGGTCATTTTTGCTCTCTGCTGAAGCCACAGTTGTGTGATGGAACTTAGCAGTTCCACAATAAAATATCATCAGGTTAAAAATATAGAGATGCAGGAGGGAAGTAACGCTGTTCAGTGAGTAAAATTATTTATGAACATGCATTTTATTATGGTTGGAGAACTAAACTATGGGCTGTGCAGCTGCTCAGACAGCGAGGTTCAGGAGAAGTCTGTGAAACTGGTTGGGCAGTGGTATATGGCCCACTGGACTGGATAATCCAGTAGCTCTGCCTTGCTGTGAACTCTACCAGGCTGAGAAAAAACATGTTTCAAACTCCACAGTATTTAAGCCTCTAAGTATCTAATTAAAGTGGAGTGTTGCACTGAAATTTAAATAGCAGCCCGTTTGTTATAAAAGACAGACAATGGATTTCTTAAGAGCTCACTGGACAAACAGGACACATCCTAAAGCTCCAAGGGACCGATTCTGCAACACCCACTCTGCTTTACGAGCTATTGTCCCCATGGAGCCTCACTCAGCACAGTGATGAGCTGCATGAGCAAGGCTAAGTAATGCTTCCTGGCTTTTCATCCCTCAGGGGTTGGGACTGGATGGGCTTCAAGGTCCCTTCCATCCCAAGCCATTCTGTGATTCCACCATGCTGAGGAATTTCCTATGCTGGTAAATATACTTAAATCATTCTGAATCTTACCTCCAGAATTCCTTTACTGGTCTGTGAAAGCATTCAGCCAAGGTCTTGTGCGTTCCCTGGGAATTCGTTTCTCACTGGGTAAGTATTATAAAGGCAGGTTATGCTGAACAGATACTATGGGGATATTTTTCACATAGGATGTGAAAAATGTAGTATTTCTCACCTCCCCCTTATTTTATGTTGCATTACAATTATCTCTGCTCTTCCTCAGGCAGTTGCTATGCCACACTCAAGACAGAGCGTCTGAGAAGAGGGAAATGTCAACTTTTAAGATGATGTTCAGCTTTCTTGTAACATGCATTCTTTATGTAATGGGTTTGAATTACATATTGTTCTCAGGCCTTCAGCTCTTCATAGAAAGTCAGCTTGACTGGGCACAGTTGCTTGCTTTTTCTTAATGAAGAGTTGTTAACATAGGAAAGAGCACAACGAGGGGCCAAGTAATGTCTACATGATTCATTAAAAATATATGCACGATGAGCAGTGTTAGATAGCACATAGCTTATTTTTATTTATGCAGCACCATGCATTCCTGAGGAAACAGGCCTTGCTCCCTGCACGAGCTGAATATCACACTGCCAAGTCCCACAGCAAGAGATGATGGTTTCAGACTAAAAGAGGGGAGGTTTGGGTTAAATGTTAGGGAGAAATCCTTTAGTCAGAGGGCAATTACGCACTGGCACAGGCTGCTCCAAGAAGCTGTGGGTGCCCCATCCCTAGAGGTGCTCAAAGCTGGATTGGATGGTCCCTTCCAACCCAACTCAACCTAACCCAATTAGCTCTGGGCAGCTAAACAGTGATCTTCAGATGATATTAATTTCAATGCAGTTAGCGCTGATGTACTGTGTTCTGCCTGAGAAGAGAATCATGGCCATGATGGGAAAGAAAAGAACACGACAATAACAATATACATGCAAGAAATGCAAAAACAAAACAAAACAAAACAAAAAGCTCATGTATTAAAACATATTAAAAACATAAAACACGCTGCCTATGTTGCTATCATTATGTATTGCTGTCTGAAATTTAACTCACTCAGTGCTGCTGATGTTGTTTGTCTCCTTTTCATATTGATCTTGGTTTGGAGGATGAATTTAGCTCACAGAATATCCCTCCCAAGTCTCTGTTGGGTCTGTAAAGTGCCATCCAGGGGCAGCTTCACCACTGATGCAGAGGGGTCTCCCTCTATTGATTCAGTTCACAATGGCAGCCCAAACCTCTCCATTTTCAATTCCCTTTTAAGGGTGATTTCAGCTCTGCCACAGATCACTACACATGTCGGGGCTCTGTGGAAGGACCAGGCTGATGCTGCAACATGGGCTACCAAATGTCACTTAGAATGTCGAGGGTGTTGCAAGGTGGGATGTGGTTAAGATCAGTGTCAGTAGGCTGCCCTTGCTCCTTCACATGTAAGTGTGTAGGTTGCTCCAAAAATAATGCCTCCTATTTATTTCAGTGGAGACTACAACAGAAACACTGGTTGATAGAGCAAATTCTCAGTAACAAAGCATTCTTCTTCAACATAGTCACCACCGTTAGCCATGCCTTTTCACCAGCGTTGAACAAGAGCCTGCATGCATGCCATGCTTGTAAGTGTCTGCACCACTGGAGGTGACCCAATGCTTTGTAGCTGCTATGACAGTATTGTTGCTAGAAAAACGTTACCCACGCAGTTCAACTTTTCACTGTTTTGTTTCAGTAACTGTTCGGAACTGATGAATCTCTGTGGGTCCCATTGTTTTCCGGATGGAGAAATTCAGTGACACACCTTTGCTCCATCCACACTTCCATGTCAGACACCATTGTGTCAGACCGCCCCTCTGCTGCCATCTGTCGCACGGCAACAACATGTAACGGGATGCTGGCGGGAACGTTCAACCTCTACTGCCATCCCACCAACATCTGCCTGTGCCACCGTGGGCCGAAAGAATCAAACAGGAGGCATTACTTTCAGAGCAGCCCTTTTAATTTTTGCATGGGGAATTTCGTCAGCCCCGCTAAGCCTTCCCTCAGCCGACAGCAAAGGCTGTTTCTAGGCGGCCCTATCGACGCTGCCCCGCTTTTCCCCTTCCCACCTCCTCTGCCCGGCGGCTGCCCCGGTGCCGCAGCCCTCCCCGTACCGCGTGCCAGGCGCGGGGCCGGGCAGTGCCGGCGGTAGGAGGCAGCAGCGCCCTGGCTGTGCGAAGGCATCGAGGCGGCTCCGGAGCGGCTCAGGGTTCTGAGGGCTCTCCGAGAGCCGTGCCGGTTTCGAGCCTTTCCCTCGGAGCGCGTCTGCACATTGTTTCTCCCTTCTGCGATGACACGGCACTTCTCCGGCAACCAAAAAGCCCGATGATACGGGAAGCATTTTGAAACGCATCGACCCCCCTTTCCCCCGTCACCGGCACCTCTATTCCCAACCACCCTCACCGCGTTTAAAGGACCCGTGCACACCGCGGGTCTCGACCCACCGCGCACATACGCGCGGACTTTACGTAGACGCATCCCGAAGGTGCTGCGCTTCGCACAGGTGCAGCCCACGGCACGGCACGAGGGCACGCATGAGAACCCCAAAAAACCCGACCGTGCCCCGAGTGCAAGTTGTCACCAAGTGCCGAGCCTGGGCCCGCCCCCCCGCGCCGGGCGGGCGCTGCGCGGACTCTGCGCGGGCGCAGCGTGCGCGGGGCGGGCGCCGCCTCGGCCGCGCTCTCGGCGCGCAGAAGGGAGGGAGGGAGGAAGGAGGTGTGGGGGGAGCGGAGCGGGGCGGGAGCGGAGTACGGAGACCGAGCCGAGCCGAGCCAAGCCGAGCCGCGCCGCTTCCGAACGAGCGGTGTCACGATCCTTTTTTTTTTTTTTCCTTTTCTTTTTTTTTTTTTTTATTGTATAAATAATATTTGTTAATTATTATTACTATTATTATTTAATTTGTTCCTTTCTGTTTGGAAAGCGGGGGCAGGTGGCGAGGAGGGGGGTGTCCCCGCCCGCCGTGCAGTCGGGATGCGTCCCGGACGCCGGGCGGCTGCGGCGCAGCGACACTGAGCTGAGCTGAGCTGAGCTGAGCTGAGCTCACCATGGACAGCTTCGACTTAGCTCTGCTCCAGGAGTGGGACCTGGACTCGCTGTGGTAAGCGGCGGGCACGGGCTGGGGGGACACGGGATGGGTGGAGGGGGATGGAACCAGAGCGAGGGGTGCGCGCTCACCGGAGGTGTGCAGCCATCGGGGGCTGCGATCATTTGGGGGCGGCGGTGCGTTTAGCGGGAGGGCAGCGATAAACGCGGGGTGCAGCACCAGTAGGGTGCAGCGTCTCGGGGGGCCGGGGGGGGAGGGCATCACTGGAGGAGCTCCAGCAGGACGGGGTGCAGCACCTCGGGGGACCCCCTGCCGCTCGCTCCCCTCCAGGAGGATGCCCCCTCCCCATCGGCTGCACCCCCCCAAATCATTCCCAGTGCCGCAGACACCCCCGTCCCTCCCGCACGCCCCTTTCCCCCAGCTTGGCCGCTCTCAGTGCCCCGCTCCCTGCCGCCCTGGCCCCCCGCACCGCGTGCCCTTGACCTCCCCCGCGCCCCCCCGGCTGCGGGAGAGGGAGCCCATTTCTAGAAATGTCATTAGCGGCAGAGGTGGGAAGCGCTGCCTCCCCCCC